AAAACTAATACTATTAATATACTATATTTATTAATTTTATTTAAATTTTGTTAGCTACTTATAAATATATCATGATTTAACAATTTTTAATTTTGCATTGCATTACTTTTGATTATTACTATATATATTATTATTATTATTATTATATAATTATATAATATATAAAATATTATTTGTGATATTATATTATATATTATATTATATTATATATGAAACTTCAGTATATAATATAGTATTTAATATAATTAAGATTGATATATTATAGAATTTTTTTATTATTTGTATATAAAAATGATATATATTAAAAGAAATCTTATTTAAATATTATAAATATATATAATATTTTATCTTCTAATAATATTTATATTTATAAATACTTTTACTATTATTATATTCTCATAAACTTATTTTTAGTTTAACTTGAATAATATAATAATAAATAAAAATTATATATATACTTTTTATATAAAATTAATATAGTAATATATTTATATATTTATATTTTTTACTCATAATCTTTTTTATAATTTTAGTATTATTTATATATTAATTAATCTAGAGTATTATATTTTTAATTCACATCTTAACTTATATAAATAATTTTTTGCTTGAGATAAACTGATATATAATTTTTAATATAAATAATATATAATAAATTGTAATAATTTTTTGAGATTTAAAAATAATCAAATAATTCATTTAAAATATATATATTATTATTATTATTTTAAGTATAATAAAATTAATAAAAAAGAATTATAGTTAAATATATTTAGTATCAAAGCTTCTTTCAATATAATATTTATATGTAACTTTCATTATTATCCTGAATTACAGTAATCATCATAAAGATTTGAAATTTTTAATTTTTATATCAATTATATGATAAAAGAATGAATCAAATTTTATGAAATTTGTCAAATATATATTTTTTATATTAAGAAATGAATATAATTTCATGAAATTTTTCAAATATATGTTTTTTATATTAAGAATAAAGTTATTTAAGATATATTAATATAATATCTTATTAAAAATATCATTAAATTATAAAAAATTAAAACAATTATCAATATAGCTAACTTTATATTTATTGATTATTTAATGAAAAATATCAGAATTTTATCAAAATTTATAAATATATTCTTTGTAATACAATGAATAATTTCACCTATAAAATAATAGAATTACTTAATATTATTTTTAATAATAACACTTACCCCCTAAACCTATTGCTCCTAATCAAACTTTAACTGAGAATGATAAGAAAAAGATTGCTTTTTATGATGATCTAGACAAATATTTTAAAGGCATATAAGCTCAATCTTTGTTGAATTTGACTTATTTTTTTCTAATAAATTTTATTGAGAAAAGTATAATAATAATTAATAAGAATTGATAATAATTCTGAAAATATATTAATCAAACTTGTTTACAGGTTATAAAGAAGTTGTTTCTAAATTACCAGGCAATTTTGACAATTTTTCATTATTCTATGCACTATATCAAAATTCTGAATTTATTTAAAATTATATATTTCTGTACTCTCAACATACAATTATCATGAAAGAGGACAGGCTACAAGAGATACAAGGGATTACAATCAATGTGAGGCATTATTTGACACAGGCTGTTTGACCAGACAAATATTAACCGAATAAGAATTTTTTATAAATGATAACCCAGCATTTTCAGATATCAGAAGAGGATTTCTGGATATGAATACATGTTTGCCTCAATGATCTCCTGTTGCTATTTTGACATCTTTTTTTGTGTTATCGAGAAATATCAGTTTCTCTATGTTGCTGAATTGTACAATATAATATACGAAGTAAAATATGAAAATGAAGGAGGCATGAAAAATATCAGGAGTTTTTTAATGAACACAGTAGGTCAAGTAGTTTAGGCTATGGAAATGAACAATGAAAATGTATATATATGAAATGAAACATAATTATTTTATCCAATATATTTATACGTTATTTTCTTTAATATATTTGTACTTCTAAAAAATGTTTGAAATCAAGATTTATAATTTTTAATTCTGCACATTCTACGCGTGATCTTTGAGATCAGGATCTAAATCGGACAGAAAGACACTAAAATTTTGGTAGTATAGATTGTTCGTCAACATTTTTTATTAGTGCGTCAAATTATATGTTGGCATTTTTCTTCACTTTGCTTTGCCGTGTTGACCGTTTTGCGAATTCTTATCGTTATTTGTTTTACATGTGCATGTGTGATCCCGCCTCTGTAAAAAATTTTAATCGCTTCTGACTTATTTGATGAATGATTGACATTGCTTATAATTATTGATTGTTTATAAACACACCACCAATATCCGTAGATATTGGAACGGCTTTTCAGATATGTCAATGATTGAAATCTAACACTCTCAAGTACATTGAAAAAATTCGAGAACATAATATTTTGAATATCTGAGAACATGAAATTTTGAATTTTAGTTCTTTATTGGATAATTATTTGAATATGCATATTTATTTATTAACTAAAACTGTTTACATGTATATTACAAATTGATCAAGTAATAAAATATGGTTTTTCTTCGGTATATTACTGCGAACATTAAATAAAAACTTTTAGAGCTAAAATTACACAAATTAATGTTTTCACATTTTTTATTTTCAGTTTTCCAACATTGCCTGACGTTATTCCTAATCAAGGAATTGTCTAAAGCCTGGTCCACCTTTTAGATTTCTAATAACTTAATGATTTATGTGTTAGGGCTAGAGGACGAGGTTACATGCAAAATTGTTATCCCGACATTTTTAAACAGTGTTCAAGACAGATTATGGCATTTGTATTCTCTTTAATCTTCATTTTCTGTCGGATTTGTTTTGCCGGGTTGAGCACTCCTATTGGACATGGATCACATGATTGACCGGGCTTTAGCGCACCTCCAAAAATAGAAATTTTTAATATAGAAAATTTAGAAGTTTAACCAGATGTTTTTAAAGAAATTGATAATTTATTGTTATAATATTAGAATTAAAATTTTAATCATATATTTCAGCTAAATTCGAAGAAACTAGAAAATTAAATTTAGAAAAACTAGAACAGCTATGATTATTGTTTTTGACATGTTTGGTGTAACTGTCAATTTCAATGATGTCGATTTCGATGTTGAAATTAAGGGCTTTGCTGTCGCTGTCGGTATCGGTGATGATGTAAATGTCGTCGGCTTTACTATCGGTGTCGATGATGATGTAAATGTCGGCTTTAGTGATGTCGTCTGATATGATGACGCAAATGACGACTTTATCGATGTCGTCTGATATTGATATGATGATGTAAATGTCGGATATAATGATGTTGTTTGGTATGGTGTTGTAAACGTCGGTTTCACTCCTGTCGAAGGTGGGTCTAAACAGACACCAATTCCACAAACATAACCTTCTTTACAACAAGTATTTCCACTACAATGTACGGGATTAGGACCACAGGAAGATCCTTTACATACATAAGGAGGACCACTAGTTGGGCAAATACTGCCTATATCACAACATCCATAATGGCCATTGACAGGAGGACATAAGCGTTCATCAGCTGCGCAAATATCTCTTGCTATCAAAGACGAATTTCTGTAAGCAGAACTCCAAAGAGTTTCTTCGTCTCTTTTGCATTTCAAGGAGATCGTAGCAAGAAGGAAATTTCCAAAGATAATAGTGAGCACAAATATTAAATTAAAATTCCTCATGGCGAATTTTTAAAATAATGAGTAACTGTGAAGGCTACAGTTTAATATATAAGGGAAGTGCCGTTTATATAGGTGATTTGATTTATGCCTCTCCCTCCCCTCTTATAAATGGCATGTCCTTCATTGAATGCAATATTTTTAATTATAAGGCTGGTTTTACCAAAAATGAATTTAGAATTTTAGAATGTTTCTGTTATTGCGCTTAGCGTAATAGTTTAGATTGCGCAAGAAAACATTTGTCTAATTATAGGGGCTGATTGGACTAAAATTCAGTTTATCAGAATTCTAGAATATTTTCTGTTACTGTTTTTTTTGCGATAGATTAGATTGCATAGACCGCTAAATTTCAAAGTTCCTAATTTGGTTTTATTCCACAAACTACGCTACGGGTTCTCCTAATATAGAAATTCTCATAATGTTTGACCAGCCAATTTAGAAATATGTAACCTTCACGAAAGAATGCACAAATTTTTAATCAGCTGCACAAATTTTTAAATCAGATCGGCAAAACAAATCCGACACAAGAAATAAATAACTTTAAAAAAATGCGAATATTTCAAAGAAAATTAGTGTCTAAATCTGTCTTGGAATACTAGTTAAAAATGTCGGGAAGATGATTTCACATATAATCTTGTTGTTCCCTAATCCTAACCCTTACCCTGACCTTATTAAATCATTAATCGGAAAAAATGTTATAGTTCATTTCCCAATGAGTCACATGTATTTGATGACATATTTCCTAATTGGTTATATAGATGCATTCAAGTTAGCGTCAGATGCAATAAAAGGAAATGCAATAATGACGAGAAAGATCTTGTTTCCCACATTTTTGGGTTATGTGATATGTGATACTGCTGATCATCAACGCATTCTACCATTCTGGATCTGTGTACCATAACAGCAATGAGCAACCGATAAATTTTTTGGTCGCAAATCTGAACAATAGAAACAAATGCTTAGACCTAGCTTGGGGTACTAATAAAAAATGGCAGAGGCTCTAGTCTTGATCTCAACTCTAACATTAAACATTATTAACTAATCTTTCCGGCATAGATTCATCAGTCTTCTGACTAATCAGATTGTAAGAACGAAAAATCAAAACAAACGAAAAATACATGTAGCTTGTACAGTGCTCCGCAGAAGTATTTGACCCCCCCAACTTTATGTATAATGCACCAAATTTTTCCGAGCACAAAGAACATTACAAATGCTGATCATGATACCTTTTATAATTGGGTAGAGCTTCTATTATCTTGATGTCAAATTAGATTTCTCAGCCGCAACCTTTTTAATTACGGCTAATGACTTGCAAAAAATTCCCGATTATTTACGTTCGCGTTTGATGATAGTTCATAACACACATCTTAATATCCAATAATCTAATTTTTGACGTCCAGTGACCCGATTTGAACAAAAATAATACTGTTTGATTCGTCTCGACTAGACAAATCAAATGGTCGTATTTTTGTTCAAATTGGGTCACTGGACTTCGAAATATTGCGTCTTAAAGTAGCAGATTCATTTTTTTTGACACTAACCAAATGAATCGGTCAATTTAGGACATAATACCTTGACCTCCAGTGATCTGATTCGAACAAAAATAATACCAATCGATTTGTCTAATCAAGACGAATCGAATGGTATTATTTTTGTTCGAATCGGATCACTGGAGGTCAAGATACTACATCCTAAATCGACCGATCCATTTTTTTGGCGATCAATTTCTAATCGAAAAATATGAATCGTTCACTTTATCTCGACGTCTAGTGAGCGAAAATAAATTGGATCACTAAACATCAAGATATTATGTCCTAATGTGACCGATTTACTGTATTTGGGCATGAAAGTTTATGAACACACAATAACCGATACAGTTAAACCTCTATATAGCGATACTCTTATATAACGATATTGGCTTTTAGCGATAAAAATTCTATTTCCCATTTTTCAATTAAGAAAATATTCTTCATATACCGAAGTTTATTAATAATTACTTTGTATAAGCTATACCGATATTTGTGGTTATCCTATTAATATAAAATAGCATCTCGATTAACCGATATTTTTACTATAGCGATAATTTATTAGTACTTATATATAGATTTTTTGGATAACGATATAAATTTTTATATAAAAAATTGTTGTTGATCACTTTCAAATTTCGTAATACAAAGTTTTTTTTTCTCTATGAATAAATGAAAAGGAAAAGAAGCAGAATTTTTTCAAAAGAAGAGGACATGCTTGACAATTTCTCAGAAAAAAGAAATTTGTCTTAAGTATCAAGAAACTCCACATCTAACTCAACATCAACTTGGTCTTGAATAT